AAGAAGAAGAAGAAGAAGAAGAAGAAGAAGAAGAAGAAGAAGAAGAATCACATGGACTTCAATATAAATAATTGACTAATCAAAGTTATAACAACCCCCCTGAAAGCTACTTACAACATGGTTCCAAAGTTACAACAACTCGGTCCCCCATTCATACCACCACACCCATGTAGAACTAATACCGTCAAACTGAAAAATTGTGTCTTTTCATTCACCTAGCTTTTGTGATGATTTGTCCTATGAAACTGGAAGAAGACAAAACCAAGATGAGAAGCTGCATCATCCTTGACCGTACCCATAAATCAACCCCAAAGGATGCAAAATATGACTAGTTTTCAGGCATATCTGCAGAACAGCTATTGTCTTCTAGTTGTGGTGAGTTACCAATCTCTCTTCAGAGGCATCTTTGCAAAATCTCTGTTTTGCAATCACTGCCCCCCTCCTTCCTTTCTATGGGGAAATCTAAGTTCCTTATATTCACATTCTAAATATAGATTTTCAAACTCTTTCAGGGAAAAAAAAACCATCTTGTAGTACAGTAATTTTCATGTCTTTCTCTCTTCCTGGGCTGTCATAGACTCTGAAACTATTGGTGTAAGATATGTTTGACACATATCACACTCCACAGCTCCTGAATGGAATTATTCATCATAATTCCTGCTCGTGTAGGATATTCCATTAAGGGTGCTCAGATGGGTTATTCTTCAATCTAGATTGCAAAATTCCTGATGGTCGCTACATGACAGAAAAGCATTAGAGAGTCTTGAGGCCCAAACCTGACAGCCAAACAGGCAAGCAATGTTTCTCTTACAAGCCACAGACAATCATTTATGACAGAGGTCAACTTTATTGGTCAAATTCTGGGAGTTGAAGACCACAAGTCTTAAAGTTGCCAAGTTTGGGGACCCCTGGTCTATGATGATGCACAGCATGGGAGAAGGTGGATGATGACCAAGATGACAATGGATGGGCATTGTGCTATCCAATGCAGCATTATTGTGCAGTCTGCAACATCGACAAATACAATGACAGAGAAGAACCTAGGTCTTTATTTTAGCTTGGCCCAGATCTTATCTTTATTGTTGGCCTAAATTGAAGGCAAGAATGAATTCATGAAACTAAAAAAAAAAAAAAGCTTGGCTTGATTCCAAGATGAAAACATTACCCCACCTCTCCCAAGCTTCATGCTGGAAGAACAGCAGGTTAGAAATAAATCCTATTAAAGATGGAAGAATTTCAACTGATGGGTAGGTGAGAGATCTAGGCAAACTCCTCTGAGATGAATTCAGCAAGACAACCTCCAAGTTAATAATATCCCTCCTCTCTCCCTTAAGTTTTTCAAGGGTCCCTGGGACAATATGATGACCCTTCCGTATTTTGACAAAGTCCACAAAGAGCTGAAACATCAAGAGAAGAGATTAACGCTGGACAGAAAAGCAAACTGAAGAGTGGCTGAAGAGAACATACTCTGAGCAAAGGGGATGTTTCCAGAACAGAGCCTCCTCTTAAACACTGAAGAATAACTTACTAAAATTAGACCCGAACTGATTTCCACTATCTGTTTCCAAGGAAGCCCAAAGCACATGATTGGAGCCAGCACAAAGAATATTTGGATAATCAACAGTAAGCGACCTTCCAAAGCACTGAGAGAGATAAGTCAGGGTCAGTTCAGTTGTATCTAGGAGTGGGGAGTGTTGGGATTGTGGAGGATGGGACAACACACTCTTGTTCCAATCCGGAAGCAAGACCTTCTAGAAGTAACCTGCTCTCTATCAGCTGATCTGAAATCTACCGGATTGAAGGTGGGCCCAGATGGTTCCTAAAATGAATTATTTTCCTTGGAACTTGCTGCTCTCAAATAAAATGTAAGCTGAACCATTTCAGACTGCAGATGTGAGTTTATGGAGTTGGATGCTCCCCTATACGGAAAACTTCTGGAGGATGTGCAAAATGGGCACTCATAAGGTGGAAATTGCTGGCTGGTTACTACATATTGTTATGTTATGAGCCTCGGTGGCGCAGTGGTTAAGAGTGCAGTACTGCAAAACTACTTCTGCTGACAGCCAGCTGCCTGCAATTTGGCAGTTCGAATCTCACCAGGCTCAAGATTGACTCAGCCTTCCGTCCTTCCAAGGTGGGTAAAATGAGGACCCAGATTGTTGGGGGAAAGATGAGAAGGCTGTAAAGCACTATAAAGTGGTATATAAGTGTAAGTGCTATTGCTATATTGTATTCCTCTGGAAAGTCAGTAAAAAAACAAAGCTGGTTACATGTTCATTCGCAAATATGGAGTATCTTTCATGAGATACCTTGAACCTCATAGCAAAGAAATCTGTAGCTGGAGAAAGAATTGATCCTAGTTTCTTTTCCTATCATGAAAGGTGGTATTCAGAGGTGGTATTCAGTAGGTTCTGTCCAGTTCTGGAGAACCGGTAGCAGAAATTTTGAGTC